TGTGTGTACATGTTTGTCTCATTCCTCTCTCTATCATCTCTCTCTCTATCATATATCTATCTCTGTATCTATCTATCTATCTATCTATCTCTGTATCTCTGTATCTCTGTATCTATCTATCTATCTATCTATCTATCTATCTATCTATCTTTCTATCTATCTATATCTATCTATCTACCTACCTACCTACCTACCTACCTACCTATCTATCTGCAGGCACCTGTGCAAAAGTCCAGGGCTTATATTTTGCAAGAATGAAGTCAAGATCTCGACTGAGCTTCGAAAGCTGATGCAGAAATCAACAGACGGTGAATCTCGCCTCGTTGCGAGAGCTCTCCAGGGTGCTGAAATCGCATTTTCCTGCCTGACCCACGTCTAGGCAAGGCAGCCTGGAGAATCCCCAACTTGCACCATTTAGTGACGTTCGAATGGCACTGAAAAAAAAAGTGAGTTCTGACCAGTCTTCACCCTTCTGGCCACTGCAGCAACCCCATGGTCAACCCCGTGATCAAAATTCAGACGCTTGGCAACTGACAAGCAAAGTCCAAAGGGAAACCCGGATTCACTTAATGAGCGTGTTCCTAACTTAATGACTGCAGCGATTCACTTAACAACTGTGGCAAGGATGGTTGCAACGGTGTGGGGGGGGCCGAAATTCACTTAAACAGAAGAGCCGTGGTGGCACGGTGGTTAGAATGCGGTACTGCAGGCTAACTCACTGCTCACTCCAGGATTCTGACTGGCTCAAGGTCGACTCAGCCTTCCCTCCTTCCGAGGTCGGTAAAACGAGGACCCAGGTTGTTGTGGGGCAAGAGGCTGACTCTGTAAACTGCTTAGAAGGAGCTGTAAACCACTGTGAAGGGCTATTGCTATTGCTCACTTAGCAATGGAAAGTCAGATAACCAGAGTTGAAAGGGACCTTGTAGGTCATCTAGTCCATTTAATAGTTGGGTTCAATGGTGGTCATAAGTCGAGGACTGTCGGTATTGACAATATCCAACCTTGTACCCTATCTTGTCTGGCCTCAGAAGCTAAACTCTGACTGATACTTGGAAGGAGATGCCCAGTAGCTGGACACCAGGAGAGGACCCAGAAAGACATGGCCAAGAGCGGTGGTGCATTTCAAATATTTGCACCACTGGTTTGGTGGGCGTGGTTTGGTGGGTGTGCTTTTCATGCGTGCACACACGCATGCCAAACACGCACTCTGCACAAGCAC